AAACAGATCTTATCGAAATTTTATTATTATAATACCAGTTGAATAATGATCAAATAGCATGGAAAAATAGAGTGAAAGTCGCTCTATCTGTTCATAAAAAAAAAGAAATTGTTTTAAAGCTTTCTATAAGAAAATAAAGTACCTCCGCCACTACTTTTGGATTGCTCTAAGTAAAATATCATCAAATTCTTAAAAGAAAATAATTCTATTATTCACATATGTCGAATATTTACAAGATTAAAAACTTTAAAAATGAACGATGACAGTCGAAATGATATATCGAATTCATAAAATTGTTGCATTATGATTCGAACATTTAATACATCATTCATTTGAAATACTACCCATTACTGTATCAATAACATTATTCCATGTTCACACTTTTGATTTTCATGAATGTAACTAGATGTAATATTTCATGATTATTTAGTTACTTTAGCTTATATTTTTGTACAAGTTATTTTAATGACTATAGAATTAAATTTTTTAATGAAAATGACACTATAAAAAAAAAATTATTTAAACGAAAGAAGAAACATTAACTATAAATCTGTTTTTAAGCGTGCAATAATAATTTTAGGATAATATAAAATGAAGTGTAAGTTATTCTTTTCTTATAATACTACCGCACTTTAAGACGTTATGTATAAAACAAAAATAACAGATGATTTTTTTATATTAGTTTTTTCTGACTTCTTACAAATTCTACTTTATATTAGCATATATCTGTTGCCAATATAAAGTCAAAAGAGCACAACTGTATATATCATTGGTTTTACTTGATTCATCAAACTTAGCCTATCAATCAAATTCTATCTGCATAATATAACATTGATGATTATTCAAAATGCATAAAAACATAGAAACAAAATATATGAAAAATTCATTGTTAACAGTTACAATCACATGTAGGACGTAAAAGTTTTCAATAGAGAATATTTTTCTTTGATTATTATTCATTCAGAAATGAATAAACCTAGCGATATGACAGAGTTAATAACAAATGTTGCCACAGCATCAATAAATGAAAATAAATTCATAAACAATAAGATGGCATAGGTAAATATTGAAATTCTAAAGCTGATGCCCAATAATTTTGATTATATTATCAATGGCAACAATAAATAAAATCTTCCAATGTCACTCTGTCATCAAATATATACGATTGATTTTGTTTTCTTTTCACACCACTTCTAAATATATTTAGAAAGTTATTCCAAGCTAATAATATGGACAATGAATCCATAGTAAGGCATATATATACATATACATGCGGGATGTCCCAAAAGTCTGTTGAGAAAGCTAACGTGAATATCTCGTATACAATTCAAGTGATTTTGCTGATTTTTTTTTTAATGATATGTAAGTATTTTCTAAATGCTTTGAAAGATCGTCAAAAATTACAGAAGAGAAAGTCGACGAAGTTCATGACTTTGGTGGAAAATGAACCACAATCAAGTATTCGAGCTGTCACAAATGCTTACTCCATTCCGCGAACAAATTGCATTTTGTACGACTTGAGCAACTCGAACACTTGATTGTGGTTCATTTTTGACAAATATCATGAACTTCGTTAACTTTTTTTCTGTAATTTTTGATGGTCTTTCATAACGTTCTCGATCTTTCTCTGTATAAGTTTCATGCAAGCATTGAAATGTAACTTTAATGCACTCTTCCTTCGGTGTTTTTTTCCGAATTCGATCAACAGTTTTCGTTTCACAACTACAGATGACTCAAATTTGACTATTTATAAAGCTATTTTTATTCTAATGTTTATAGGCATAGATATTTATCTGAAAATGTATAGAAAAAGCTGATATATTATTTAAAAAAATCAATTAAATCACTTGAATTGTAGGAGATATCTATGTTAACTTTCTCGTCAAATTTTCGGAACATTCTGTATATAATAGATTGTATTTTAATTAGTTTATGTGTTTTTCATATAGACAGATATTGCATGGCCTATGAACCTCGAATCGATGTCTCAATCTAGACCTAGACCGGCCATAAAGAATAATGAAAACAAACCAGACACAAAACAGTATCGAAGGTAAAATATCACGTATAATTTTTCATTGTAACGGATAATCCATAATAAATGGTGACATATTGCATTCTATATTTGAAACTCAAAATACTTTTTATCAAAAAAAAAACAGAATATAATACGCGATGCAACATGAAAAGTTCTATAATCTATAAAGTAAAGCTTATTTTAATTTTGTACTTTTTGTTTTCATAATAAGCAAAATTCTGTGAGACCACTTTTCAATGCTACGAACGATATCCTTTATTGATAGTGTAACTGTCTATAAAATGCATGAAATTTTCTTTGCATTATGTCAATGATTTTTTATGTCTATGTAACATGATGTTGCCTTGTTGACAGGTAAAATCATTGTCTGGGAGCCTTTTGCCTTCAGATTGTGCTTGTAGAAAAACAACTTCAATGTAATTTTCATGTAATAATGCTTAACAATATTTAAATATAATGAGAAGCTAACGAGCAGTTTTAGATGCCCCTAACTATGTATCATAATTCTTTTTGAACACTTAGCCTTTTAGTTTATATCCTCTTGTTTGTCTTCTTCTGGTCAACTTGAAGCATTTACACGTTCTAATGATAAATATTTTTCATCATTGAGATTTAAAAAAGTGTATTCTTGCAGCGTCAAAAATTGGTCGCACAGAAATTTGCTTATTTTGAAAACAAAAGATGCCCAATTAAACTAAGTTTTACTTTGCAAATTGTAGAGTTTTTCACGCTGCATCTTGTAGTAGATTTCGGATTTTTTTCGTATTAAACTTATTTAGAGATTTTAAATATGAAATGTAAAGTGTGGCTATTTATCATTGATCACCGGCACCGGTTACCTCTATTTTGTTCAGAGTTTTTTTTTTCATAAGCATCAGAATATCACTATCGTTTGAAATTCTTAGTATTTAGAATTAAACTTAACCTGAAGTTGTACCGTTTCAGAGAACTATTTCAATACTAGTGAAATAATTTGAGCTTATTATATAATCTAGTTTGTCAATCATGATAGCTAGTAATAATATATATAGAATTAGCAAAACCATTTTTCCTCAAAAGTATTGTTATCAATTTACTCATCCTGCGATCATCCTAAAACGCATAGAATTATTCTGCAAGTTGTATGTATTTTGAGAAGTGGCAAAATAACAGGTGTATTATTGCGGATGATTTTTCGTTGTTTAGAATTTAATGTAATAGTAATATCAATTTCTACTTCATATAAATAATCAAATACAGCACGTACTAATATAAATAGGCTTACGGGAAAATGCGGTTTTTCAACACAGCCAGTTTGAAACTTTCCGACCCAAAATATTGCTTCCAAGTTTCATCGATTTCTGACAAAATCAGCCCGTATTTCTTGATCTGAATAGTTAAGATAAAATTCTAAATTCCAAGTAGCTGAAAATTTTACGGTTTATAATATTTCAGCTTTTTTTAATTAATATGTCAAGCTAAAATTAACAATAGACTTTGATCAACATTATTTAACCATTGAAATTTATAGCTTAAATAAATTTAAAAAATCTCGAATTCTTGAGAAGTTTATTGAATAAGAATATCTAATTTTTATTAAACTGATAATTTTTGTCTCTTGCTTTTCTTTATATATACAGATGTTGGGGTATTACATGTTATCCTTGTTCAAAACTTTGTATTGGACTTTTAATATTACTTTCTCTTCTTATTCTTGCCCTGATTGCTACGTTTCTTATTCTTTTTATTGGTAAGAATAAGCAAACGAAAACAACACCAATTGGTACAAGTCAGTTTTAAAAATTGCTTTGATTTTTATAAAAATCTTTTAAAATTATTTATTCTATATAGTAATCAATCCAATTACAAAAATTGCGTATACAACGATTACTACTGTATTAACCAAAATGCTTGCTACTTCATCAACTACAACGCTTACTACTACATCAACCACAACAGCGACAACTTCAACTACAGCAAGTTAGTTAATTTATATTTTCTCTTTTATGCATTTTATCTATTTCTGATTTCAGGCAATTAATCTACGAATACCTGAAAGAGTTGCTAGACAGGTTTAATTTAAATACTGAGTCGAATGGTGTTATTTAGTTTTAGGTTCGATTTAATTTGATACTTTTATATCAAATTTCTGAAGTATTATAATCAGCTTATGTGTAGCAAAGCAGTCAACATTGTTAGATCATTTCGAACCTAAAAGCAAATATCACCATTTGATTCAGTATGTGAAATTATCTTCCTATCTAGCTGTTTTTTCCGGCTAATCATAGGTCAATTGACTGAAATCGAGAGTTTGGGGAGAAGAACTAGGAATATCAATCTTGCGTAGACCGAAAGAAAGCTAGTTTCAGAATATTGTTTTCAATAATCTTCACAAGGAACTCATCTAATTACTCAATTGATCACCAATAGAGTTACGATATACTTCGATGACCCTGGGTCTTCTCTGTTGAATGATAAAGTCCGTAGGTTTCTACGATGTCCCTATTAAAAGCTATTTAAAACAGCACAATGGAGCACATTATATTTTGAAATGAATAGTATAATTTTACATCTTATGTAATGAGAAGCGCTTTGCAATTAACATTTCATCTAAGATGACTTCCTAGACTTTTGAACAATAGTACGTAGAATCATTGTTCAATAATTCATATCATTGATCAACAGACAGTAAAAATCTTTTTGTCTTATACATGTGTAAAGAAAAAAATTCTTGTTGTCTTATAATCTTATCAAATTTAATGTTTTATTCTGCCGATCTAATAACTATGATGGGCAAGTAATTCTTTTGGTAATTGATTTTTAAAAAAGGCATAGTTTGATGGTTATCTAATAGATCAAAATTTCATTATGGATATTTTTTGTTCAATTGTTCATTAGGTACAACTACAACCACAATTAATTGTGGTACATCCTGTCTCAATCAATCATGGATTGAAGCTTCAGATGGTCTCGCTTTCTGGCCATTCGATGGTTCATATGTTGACATAGTTGGTGGTTACAATGGAATCCGGTCTCCAAATTTGCCTACTTTTGTTACTGGATACCTTGGTCAAGCTGCTTCATTTGATGCATCTATGCAACAAGCTATATACACATCATATATTCCATTAAATGATGTTAGTTTCAGCATAGAAGCATGGATTAAGCCAACCGGTTATCCTAATTCAAGAGATCATAGTATTGTTGGCTTATGCCCTTCCAAAATAATAAACCATTGTCTTCATATTAATATTCGTAATAAAAAACTTTACTTCGGTTTTTATTATGATGATATTCAAGGTATAACAACAATCCCACTCAATCAATGGATTCATGTAGTATTTGATTTTAATCTAACAACAAAACTACAGACTATCTATTTGAATGGATATCAAGATGTACAAGCAATTGCATCACATTCATTAGAAATCGATGCAGGCAATTTTACAATTGGCATTAATGAAGGCGTAAACTTTCCATATAGTTATTTTCAGGTAATTTTAACATGTTCTCTCTTTCACTAAAGAAAAAGACATTCTTTAGAAGATAATCTTTTTATGATTATTTCAAAAATGACTTAATAATAACATAATATAATTTAGGGTTACATTGATCAATTATCAATCAATCGACGAACAAAATCTTCTTGTGAAATACTTGAAATAGCAACATTAGCTGGTCATTTCAAATTTGATACTCCATCACCATTTATTGATTCTGGGCCTAATGCAGTTGCAACTACTTCTTCAGGTACTTCGATTGTCAATGGTTATAAAAATCAAGCTATATCATTTTCTGGTTCATCAACATCTTATTTTCAAGCATGGGGTTTTACTTCACTTGGTTCGAGCCAACAACCATTTTCACTTACATTTTGGATTAAACCTCAAATTCTATCAGGTACAATTGTTCATTTATCAACATCATCTTTAGGTGCAGGATCTGAATGTTTTCCATTATTGGGTTTTGCTTCAAATGGAGCAATCGTTGCACAAGTTTTGACTGACAATAACATTGTTGTAACAGCTACGGGTCCTATTTTACCAATATCATCATTATGGATAGCAATTGTTCAAACATGGAGTCCAACAAATGGATTGAAATTATACGTCAATAATACACTTGCTAGTTCTGTTGCAGCTTCAACATTTCTAGCAAGTGAAATAACACCAAACTATTTAACATTGGGTAATTGTTTAAATGGTTGTGATGGTACGTGTTCGGGTGGTTCAGTCGGTACACCAGGTCCATTTACAGGTGCGATTGATGATTGGCGTATATACAGTCGTGAACTTACTTCGGACGATGTGTGTGCTTTGTGTTTTGCTGCTTGATTTCATCAATGATTTTTTTTTTGTTTCGATCGTTTTCATATTTATTGTGAAGAAACATTTCAGTCTAATCGATGTAAACAATTATTGATGAAATTTTTCAGAATAGATCATTATCTTTTAAAATATCAATTATAAGTAGCACTAGTCTACAACATCTGGTTATGTTAATAAAGTATGAGTTATCTTTAGAGTAGTTTTATTTTATTTTGAAAAAAGTTTCGAATGTAATTAGTTCATTTCATTGAATAGAAATGAAAACATCGAAAGTAAAAAAAATAATAGTAGTTTTTTGAATTTGATTTATACTACCATTTTTTTTTCAACTAACTATCTATTGAGATGAACAATTCAAACTAAAGTAGCATGTCGAAGTTTGTTGTATACAGTTTAACTAATCCTCATAATACAAACAATAATATTTTCTATTCTTCAATAAAATAAAGAAAAAACTCTATTTTGTTTTTATCCTATGACTATACATATCATTCTTCATTGTCAAGATAATTGCCATAGGCAATTTTTACAGAATGTGGTTTTTTGTTTAAACATTGTATTGTCCACTGTCATGCTGTTGTTCGATATTCTTTTGCTACTTGTTCCATTCACAATATTGTTTGTTGTTCTTATTGTCAGAAATAAGAAAACAGCAATTGCAATACTACTAAACTTGTAGGTTCTTTCGTCGATCTCTTTCAATTATTTGAATAAAACTGTTCATTCTTTCTTTCCATCTGAATATCTATTAGATATGACATTTCCTTATGTTCATATTTCCTAGAACAAAACAAGGTAACACATAATACTCTTTTCTCTTATACTTTGGTTTCTTTCTATCTCATTTTTCGTTTCTTTCTGATAGTCTTGTTTCAAGTTCAGATTTTCTCCTCTACAAAATGGTGTGCAAAAGTCGAGGATACATTGATCTGTTGTAGAGAAAAATGCGACACACTCCTCGTGATCAGTTCTAGTCGCGAAAGTTTCTGGTCATAACAAATTTGCCGCAGTTTTCTCTGCATTATATCATTGTATCCTCGATTTTTATAAATCATTCTTAAGAGGAGAAAATTATAAATACAAAGAGCCGAACAGAACTATTCTTTCACGCCCAACATTAAAATTATTATTGAATAATTCTTTTTTGTTTTCTTTGATCAGGATCCAAGGATCATGATGGGCTCTAGTCTTGTGATATATTCTCTTGTCGGTCTCTTTTTTTCTCACTATCATATTATTGTAAGCGTGTATGAGCGTTATAAAATAAAATACATTAAAAAACAAAGACCTAATAAGTTTCTGGAATATAACTATGNACATGAAAGAAATAACTGCGTTTCAACGCGTTTAACTTTTTGTTGACGCATTTTAACGGGTTGAAAGACCATGTTGGAGCAAGTAACGAGTCTTAATGGGTTGAAAGATCATGAGAGGGCAAGTAATGCGTTTTAACTTGAATAAAACGAAAGCTTTTCACGAAGTTATCTATTTCTCCTATCCTGTTGGTGATAGCGCTAACCAGTAGCATCGAACTTCTTTGTTTCTTTGCTTCGTTGTTACTACAAAATAGAGAGCAACACTCATAACTATTCAGTAATTCCTATTGTTCCTTATTCAATCAATACATATCATTCTATTTATTCCCAAGCATATGTTTATAAAAAAGAGTCTTAATTAAATATTCTATAATACATGTAGGGATCCGTTTTTTATTTCCTCGATTCTCTGATTAAATTTATTTTTCGTGCGCTAATTTTCTCAAGAATAACTCAGTCAGGTAAGTCCAAAAATCTCTTTTTCAAAATCAAAAATATTATTTTGATCACAAAAATCACAGAAGGTTCACATATTTTCTTGCACTCTTTCTCAGTTAGATCCCTATTCTTGTCGAAATAATTATATATCATTTCAAAAATAAAAGTATCCACCGGCTAAAATTTAATTCAAATTATTCGAGGAAAAAAAATAATATTCATAACAAATTTTAATATGAATCTGTCAAATCTACATAAAAAAGCTCGCTACTACAAAAATAGTAAACATAAGGATAATTCAGGATATGGATAAAAATATTAAAAAATTGTTCAGTCGTTTCTTCATTAACTTACCCTTTGATAGAAATATTTTGATCTCTTAGTAATTTTTGCCATCGAAATGATATATATATATATGTTGTGGTCAAAATTAAAATTTTAATTTTGCCCAGGCAAAATTGAAATTTTGATTTTGTCCAACATACTATCAGTCAGAACTAAAATTTTAATTATGACTGGACGAAATTAAAATTTTTTTGATGAAAAGAAAAAGGTAAAGAAAAACCAAAAGCCAAAGTAGCGACAACTTTTTGATTTCAAAAAAATTATTAACAAATATTATATGAGTGTGGGCGCAATAGGGGCCTTGTAGGAGTGCCAATTTATATTTACTTTCAATTTAATTACTGCGTAAATTAAATTATCGGTGATTTAAATTTAAAATAAATTTAGGCTATTTTTCTCATAATTTGCATTTAAAGTAAATTTAATTTTTTTTTTGATAATTTAAAAGTTAAAAATAAATTTAAATTGTCTAAAGCAAAATTTATTTTTAATATAAATTCTGATAATTTAAATTATGAATAAAATTTAATTTGTTCTAAACTTGATTACCGATGATTTAAATTTATATAAATTAATAGCAAGATGGTAACCCTAGAGCCTTGCTCCTTTCACACCTATCTACATTCACACCCTTCAAAACCAAGCACTCTCACCCACATCCATACATTTTGGTGTCGAAATTTTACCTTATTCTTTTCATTAAAAAAACGAATTTTAATTTTGTCCAGTCAAAATAAAAATTTGGCTTTTGACTGACATTATGTTGGGCAAAATTAAAATTTTAATTTTGACCACAACATATACTTTCTAAATATGAAAAGGCATTACCAAATATATTTAGAGTAGCAAAAAAGAAACTTCTATATTAGGTACTTGATTCATTGTGCTATATNGAGATCAGCATTTTCTCGAATGATTAATAATCGAGAATGAGTTCAGAAAAAAAAATTATTTCGAAAATGTGTGTTTCGTACGTTCCACCAAGTTGTTTATATACGGCTCTGTATGCATAAAAAAACGGTGAATGACTAGTCAGCATGTAACCAACGCACTAATGATGTCGCTTTTTGTTTTACTCAAGATCTTGTGAGAAGATAATAGTGAACGTATCTTTTTCATGATCTTATCAAGATCTTAAGCACAGATTTATCTGATACAACTAGGATATGCACATACAAATTATCTTTTCAAGATCTTATTAAGATCTTGCTTATCGGTCCCAAGATTTCAAGATCTTGCTTACAAGATGTTCGACTAGGGTAAGCTCCCCATAATCATCTTTCTCATATTCATGTTTCTTTAATTTTTATGAGATTTTTGTCCTTATGAAGCATTTATTATATTAAGAAAAAAGACCTTGTTGTTACATCAACGGTGAAATTAGTTTTAGAAAACTTCAATGATAAAAATAATGAAATATTTTTTTATAAGGTGTACCCACGCAGATAGATAAACGCCAAAATGCCGTTTTGAAGTGTTGAAGGTTAGAATAGAAGAAAACAACGCTTTATCACGCGTTGACTGAACAAATGAAAGAAATAATCGCGTTTCAACGCGTTTAATTTTTTGTTGACGCATTTTAACAGGTTGAAAGATCATGAGAGGGCAAGTAATGCGTTTTAACTTGAATAAAACGAAAGCTTTTCACGAAGTTATCTATTTCTCCTATCCTGTTGGTGATAGCACTAACCAGTAGCATCGAACTTCTTTGTTTCTTTGTTTTGCTGTTACTATAAGACAAAGAGCAACACCCACAACTATTCAGTAATTCCTATCGTTTCTTATTCAATCGATACATATCATTCTATTTATTCCCAAGCATATAAGTTTATAAAAAAGAGTCTTAATTAAATATTCTATAATACATGTAGGGATCCGTTTTTTTTTATTTCCTCGATTCTCTGATTAAATTTATTTCTCGTGCGCTAATTTTCTCAAGAATAACTCAGTCGGATAAGTCCAAAAGAATCTCTTTTTCAAAATCAAAAATATTATTTTGATCACAAAAATCACTGAAGGTTCACATATTTTCTTTCACTCTTTCTCAGTTAGATCCCTATTCTTGTCGAAATAATTATATATCATTTCAAAAATAAAAGTATCCACCGACTAAAATTTAATTCAAATTATTCGAGGAAAAAAATAATATTCATAACAAATTTTTATTTTTGACTGGACGAAATTAAATTTTTTTTATGAAAAGAAAAAGTTTAAGAAAAATCAAAGCCAAAGTAGCAACAACTTTTGATTTCAAAAAATTATTAACAAATATTATATGAGTGTGGGTGCAATAGGCGCCTTGTAGGAGTGTCAATTTATATTTACTTTCAATTTAATTACTGCGTAAATTAAATTATCGGTAATTTAAATTTAAAATAAATTTAGGCTATTTTTCTCATAATTTGCATTTAAAGTAAATTTAATTTTTTTTTCATAATTTAAAAGTTAAAAATAAATTTAAATTGTCTAAAGCAAAATTTATTTTAAATATAAATTCTGATGATTTAAATTTATTTTTAAATTTAAATTATGAATAAAATTTAATTTGTTTTAAACTTGATTACCGATGATTTAAATTTATATAAATTAATAGCAAAATGGCAACCCTAGAGCCTTGCTCCTTTCACACCTACCTGCACTCGCACCCTTCAGAATCAAGCACCCTCACCCACATCCATACATTTTGTTGTCGAAATTTTACCTTATTCTTTTCATTAAAAAAAGAATTTTAATTTTGACCACAACATATACTTTCTAAATATGAAAAGGCATTACCAAATATATTTAGAGTAGCAAAAAAGAAACTTCTATATTAGGTACTTGATTCATTGTGCTATATATTTAGGTGAATAGTGCTTATAGAAAAAAATAGTGTGTGACGTGCGCTTCATTTTTTCTACTTCATTA